TTGCCATTTATCACGGAGCAAACGTTATGAAACCCCTGCTGTGTGCAGGCCCTGCCCCAGGCCCCGAGGAGAGAGCGGAGATCTGACAGAGGGTCCCTGGCTGCAGGGGCCACACCTACCACAGGGGGCCCCGAACTTCTCGCCGCGGTTCTCAACCTGTGGGTCGTGAACAATGAAAATACATCCTGCGTATCAGGTATTTACATGACGATTCATAACAGAAGCAAAATTACAGTTATGAAGTAGCAACGAAAATAATGTTATGGTTGGGGGTCGCCACAACATGAGGAGCTGTATTAAAGGGTCGTGGCATTAGGAAGGTTGAGAACCACTGGCTAAGGCATCCGGGCAGGCTTCCCGGAGGAGGTGTCCAGGTGAAGGATGAGGAGTTCGTTAAACAAAGAGAAGAGGGAGAACAGTGTTTCTGGCTAAGGAGACGCGAACGTGAAGGCCCTGGGCAAGCCAGACGCTGCCTCTGCGGGCAGGTTGCAGGGCTGGGTCTCCGGGTGTGGCGTGAAGGAGAGACACAGGAGGTGCCTCAGTGGGGCTTGTGTGGGCGGATCTAAAAGTCTGGATGTCACCCTGGCCTTGGGGCGCCACGGAGGGGGTTCGTTTGGGGAGGAGGCTGTGTGTGCGGAGGCCGGGGCAGATGTCCAGGCAGGAGGAGCAGCAGCCCGAATCAGGTGGGGGCAGAAGGGGCAGATCTGGGTGGCGTCCTGGACACACGGGGGACACGCGCTGATGCCTAGAGGATGGGCTGACGGAGCAGGCGGAGGCCAGAGGGCCAGGGTCTGGCTTCGGCACACGGGAGGAAGTCACCTGGGAGATGAGACCTGCCCGGTAGAAGTCTCTGGAAGATGCTAGCCTGCCCTCCCACCCAGATAAGACCTGGGGCCATCCTGGTCTGAGCAGGGTCCTCCCTCACAAGGAGCTCACCGCCACCGCCCCCGGCTCTACCCAGGGGGTTTTCACAGCGAAGGGCTGGCACACGGGCCCAGCCAAGGAGCGTGTCTGAGCACTGAACCGGGAGCACGAGTGGACAGGCCCACCCAGGCGCTGCCAGAGGAAGGAGAGACTCGGGGCTCAGAGGGCGGCACACCCCCTCTTTCTATGTACGGCCCAAAGGGAGGGTGCCATGAAGCACGGCCAGGTTGGGGCTGCCTGCTGCAGGGATGGGTCCCACCAGGGGCAGGGGGGGGGAAGGGGGGCGACCTCCAGCTGAGGCCTGGAAGGCAGGTCCTGAGAATGCCAGCTTCGGAAAGAGCCGGGGGCGGGTTCCCACAGAGGCGCTGCCCTGCCGTGGGGTGCTAGGATGGCAATGTCATTTCCTCCCAAGCGCTCTAGAAAAAACAAACCCGCTTAATTGTTTACACATGTTGCTCGGGGCGCTGAGGGAGGGGGCCAGGGGCCCTCCCTGCAAGAGAAAATATATGCAAACATCGCTGTCGCATTGCAGCCTCATTACAGGCTGTGTGGGAGCTCCCGGGCACCAGGCCCGGATATCATTTTCCATGAGGAGAAGGTACCCAAGGCCCGTCCCGGGCTGGGAGGACCCGGAAGCCTCCCTCTGCCGCCCTTTGTCTGGGAGTGTGGGAGAGGGTGCTGTGTGTATCTGCTTCTACTTTTTGCTCGAAATAAAGGAACTCGAGAGAGAGAAATGGAAAGATAGGCAGCCTGGCTCTTGGGAAACCCACAGCCTGAGAAATGAAGACCAGCGTTTCCCTGGGGCCGGGCGCCTCCCTGGACCCGGTCTCCTGCTCCGCAAATGGAGACAATCACCTAAGCCACTGCCCAGGGCTGCTGGCACGTCCCCCTCCATAAAGGGGGCCCTTGGTGTTTATGGAGGGAGAGCACACTCAAGGGTGGAGTCTGAGGAAGTCAAGACACTCGCTGTCCTGGGGGAACCTCGCACTTTCCCTGCCCAGGGTCCCCGGCACCCGTGGCTCAGGGGCTCAACAGAATGTGGTAAAGGTGAAGGGAGTGAGCGGATGTCATTAAGGTCCCTAATCAGTTGACTTCGACTTAATCAAAAGGGCGGCTATGCTGGTGGACCTGACCTAACCAGGTGAGACCTTAACAGAAGGGCCAGGTGTTTCCTGGAAGAAGAGACACAAAGCAGAGGGGTGCTCTCCTGCCGGTCTGAAGGTCAAACAGCCGTGCTGTGGGCGGGTGGCCGCTGCCCGCTGAGCCCTCAGTCTTACACCACAAGGACCTGAATCCTGCCCACAATCTGAATGGGCTTGGAAGGGGACGCTGAGCTCCAAGGAGACCTCAGCCTTGTGAGGCCCCGAGCAGAGGACCTACAGAAACCGTAAGGTCATAAACGGTGCTGCTTTCAGCCGCTGTGTTTGTGGCGACTATGACACGGCACAGAAAACGAACCCGGTGGGCATGGAGCTTGGGGGTCCCACCGTGGGCCTGGCCCTGTTCCGCCCATGAACCCCAGACCCTCTACAGAAGCGACAAAGCCTCTGCTCCAATTACCTGCCAGACCAGAGTCACAGCCTCTGTCTTCACTCCTTCCGGGCCTTTCTGCACAAGCCGACAGATTACCTGCCCTAAAACCCAGCCTTGTCCGGTCTCTCCTCTGTCTAAAGTCTCCTCTGGCTCCTAGGGCCCTCCCAGGAGAGTTCCATCACCACCCAGGTGTGCGAGGCTCCACCCTCTCTCCCTGTCCATCCTTAACCCCCCTGTCCCCTACCCCGATTCTTCACTGTCCCTCCCTCCGCTGTCCCTGCAGCAGCATCCTCCCGCTCACCCTCCTCCCCGCCAGCGAAGATGCATTCCAAGGAGGGTTACACTATAGTGCCAATCTCTTAAAAACCCGGTCAAGTTCTGGCCGGTCGGCAGACACAGCAGAGGTTGGGGAGATGTGGGCCGTTGAAAAGACCAATTCAATGTTACAACTTTATATTGGAACACGGAAGGGAAAACTATTACTTTCATAATCAGACTTGAAAAAGTGAAGCTACTCAAGGTCTTGGTTGGCACAGCGACCAAGAGGAGCAACCTTTGTGGCCCAGGTGGCCATGGGGCAGGGCCCCCAGGGAGCAGCATGGGCCGATGTGACCTCCCTCAGCCTCTCTGTAGGACATACATAGACATGCCAATGCATACGTGTCTATCGTATAAACAGTATAAGTATCTACGTCTTATGCACACATACAAATATAGCATGCACATTGCATATGATATGCACATATGTAAATATAGCATGCACAATGCATATAACATATATATATATATATATATATATATATATATATATATATATATATATATTTACTATGCATAGTGGAAGAATCTGGAAAGTTATAGGTCCTAGCGTGAACAGTGATTTTTCTCAGGGACCTGCGGCTATGGGTGGTCTCAGCCCAGGAGAAGCTGCACCGGACATCAGGCCCCACCAGGGCAGCGCCCGCCTCCCAGGCCTGGGCTCAGCCCCAAAGTCCTTGTCTTCATTCAGCTCAGGGCTGCAGCCCAGCGGCCCCCAGGCTGCTGCCCAGCATCCTCCCTCCACCTCGTACCACCTCTGACCGCGGTCGGGAGGGAGGAGGCCGCCCCAGAGGGTCGGCTCACGTCTGGGTGGAGCGTGGGATGCAGATGAAGGGATGAAGCCAGAACTCACTGGTGCCCAAGGTCAGCAGACATGACCTCAGGGTCCCCTCTCAGATGTCTTGGAGGAGCAGCTGGCTGCTAGGGTAGCAGGGCCCAAGGTGGCCTCGGAGGGTGGCCGAGTGTCGCTGCCTCCAGGCGTCTCACCTGCTGTGCTCTCTGCTGCCGGGAGACAGGCCGTCTCCTGGGTCCCGTGAGGAGACGCAGGCACAGCTGCTTCCCAGAGGCCACTGCCAGCCCTGTCCCATCCTGCAGGGCGGCGTCTGCCCCGGATGTGACAGGGAAAACTCACTCAGCTCCTGCCACCTGCCCCTCCCTGCCTCTCCCCGGCCCTCCAGTCCCCGGGAGGGCAGTCAGGGCAAACAGCAGGCACTCAATACGTGATCCTGCCCTTCCCGTTTCCGAATGTGCAGCTGCGGGCCTGATGGAGGCTCATGTCACCACCAGGGGGCAGTGTTACCCGCTCCCAGCTCTGCGAGGTAAGGGCTAACGAGGATTTCCAATGAGGCCTGGAGCCCCCTGAGCCTCCAGTGTGCCCCCAGGAGGCACCCCCACTCCATCAGTCCCCGGGGGGAAGTTCAGAGGCTGCAGAGTAGTGGGAGGCGGACATGCCCAGGGGCAGAGGGAGGCTTCCCAGGTGCTGGCGTCAAGGGCAGGGCTGGGACGGGGTTAGGGAAAGTGAGGCCGTGGGGTGCAGTGGTTAGAACAGGGCCACCCATGTCCCAGGACAAGAGCCTGGGAGAGACCCATAATTCCCCGGGGGGGGGGGGGGCACATTTGCAATGTTCAAATCTTGCAGAGATGGAAGAACCCAGGAATTTCCTTTAAGAGGTTGGTCAAAGCCCATCGTCCTTGACTGACAGCCCTTCGGAGCAGCCACAGCCTCACCCCTCCCACCGGCACCTGCTCCGAGGGGAGGAGGGTCCAGCAAAGGAATGTGGGGAGCACAGGGCACGAAGGAGCGGAACCCCCACACACAACTCTCCAAGCTCCCACTTTGAGAGAAATGGCAGCCACACCCCGGCTGGCCCTGGGCTCTGGAAGGAACTGCATGGCTCCCAGGCCTGACCAAGGCTGGGGCTCGGGGGGTAGCTCCCAAAAATGCAGGTGCACAGGTTCCCCTCTAGGCGGGCCAAACCAGAACCGCTGGGGAGGGTCTGAGACGTCGGTGTTACCACAGCTCTGCATCCAGAGGGCCTGAGGGTTAGGAGCCTGAGCTGTCTCCTCCTGGCCTGAGGGAGGGAGAGAGGCCGGCTGTCTTCTGAGCTGGTATTTGAATGGAGGGATTGACTGTCTATCAATCTTTTTTTAAAAAATATATTTTTATTGATTGCAGAGAGGAAGGGAGAGGGAGAGAGATAGAAAACCAATGATGAGAGAGAATCATTGATCGGCTGCCTCCTGCACGCCCCCCACTGGGGATCGAACCAGCAACCCGGGCATGTGCCCTGACCGGGAATCGAACCGTGACCTCCTGGTTCAGAGACTGATGCTCAACCACTGAGCCACTGTCTATCAATCTTGACAGCCATCTCCAAACGGTTCCAACTGGCCACTTCACCCAGGAATCCAAGGGACACACACACGGGCCACCGGTCCAGGAGCCCACGCTCAGCAGGCTGCCGGAAGCCAGGTCCCGGGGCCCATCCCCATCTCGAAGGGACGCCCGGTTCCCCAAGTCCGGGCCCCGGCGGCAGGCGGCCAGCGGCTGGCGCGGAGGTGTCCGCTGCCGGTCACAGGTGGCGGGCTGCCTCCCAGACGATCTGCAGGGCCATGGAGGCGCAGGGCAGCTGGGCCAGCGTGTAGGCCAGGGAGCGGATGGGCGCGCGCAGCTTGCCCAGGTAGGCCACGGTGTGCACCATGCGACCCAGGAAGACGAGCAGGAAGTGCACGTGGGCCACGAAGGGGTTGGGCTGCAGGAAGGAGTAGACCAGGCCCAGGAACAGGAACGGGTAGATGGTCTCCATGTCGTTCCGGTGGGCTCTGGGGAGGCAAGGGGGTGCGGTGAGCCGGGCGGCAGCTTGGGGAACGCCGCCGACGCTGGGCCCTCTGCCTGCGAGGCCCGGGCCATGGACGGTCATCTCCAGGGCGCCAGGCTCAAGTCCACTGGTGGCCAGAGCAAGAGCTGCCCCAGACGTGAGCGGCGACTCCCAAGCTGGCGCCTGCGGGAGCAGCCCCGTGAACAGGCTGAGCCATGGCGGGCTTCTTCCCCGGCCTGGGGCTCCCCAGGACCCCGTCCCTGCCAGTCTCCCCCATCTTGCCCACTGGCCTTGGACCCCAGGCGGGAAAACTGGGGTTCCAAGGGGTTGGGGGAGAGCTGGGTCTGACTCAGGCCCGTGCCCTGCACCACCAAGGCCAGGCTTCTCCGCGGCTGACCTCTGTCCACGTGCGGGGCCCTGGGCCCTCCTGGCGGGATGGGCGAGAGCCAGGGGCGGGCATCTGAGAGCCACGCCTGCTCCTTGCCCTAAACCTAAGCAAGTCCCCTCCACGCAGGGATAGCAGCAACACAGCCTCCGTGGCTGGAGCCAGCCCACTGCCGACCCTGGCGGCTCCGTGTCATTGTGCAGTCCCGCCTCTTTGTTTAAATAACCGCGTGGGTGCGTGGGTGAGTGGGTGAGTGGGAGGGGGCGGGGCCTGTGTAAAACCTGCTGTAAATAAATGACCGCGGAAGGGAGCGCGGCTCACATTTTCCAGGCCTCCTGCTAGTGGAGGTGGGGAGGCTGAGGCCTGTGCACTGGGGACTGAGCAAGTGACTGAAGCCCAGAGTGCATGCTGGGAGCTCACATAACGGGAGCCCGGCCCTGACCTCTCCTACCCCCTCCCCCCCCAGGAGCAGGACAGACCTGATCCGCCGCAGGGCAGGACGGGCACAGGGACTCAGGAGCAGGAGCCCCTCCCCAGGCAGAGCCCATGCGCCCAGCCCAGCCCCCAGGCAGCAGCGCCCTGTCCTCCCTCCCATCCTCCCATCGCTGGGAGCCTTAGTGGAGGGCTGGCCTGACGAAGGGACTGGGCTGGCAGGGCAGGGAGGGGACCTGCGCTCTGGGCCACCCAGCGCTGTCGGGGCCTCTGCGGGGCGGGTGTGGTCGGAGAGGCGGGGTCTGCACCAATGCCTGAAGGATGAGGGCCCTTGGGGGGTCAGGGGAGCACTCTCCAGGGGCGGGTCTGGCAGAGCAGAGGCTCCGAGGTGGGAGTGAGCAGCATATTCAAGGCACAGACGGGTGAGCAGCGTGGCTGGAGTGTGGTGCGTGGGAGAAGGCGAGCAGGACGAGTGGGGAGGGGCCTGGGACTCAACCTCGTGTACACAAGCTCCTGTAAGCCCAGCGGGGCCGGGGCCTTTCTGCGGTCAGACGGCCTTCTCCTCTTCCCTGGAACCTGGAGCTGGGACCAGCCACAGGGAAGCAGCCTCCAGCTGGCATGTCTCCCCCGCGGGGCGGGGACCGGCCTCCTGTGCCAGAGAGGAGGCCTGGCGGGATCCTGGCCGCAGGGAGGAGGGGGAGAGGGAACCAGGACCCGGGCGCTCCGTCCCTGACCCTGCTGTGAGTTACAGGCAGGGGGCTGAGTGCACTTCTGTCCCCCTCTGGGGACAGAGCTGTGATGCCGACACCCCCAGACGCTGGTAGAGGCACACCTTGGGAAAACCCATGTTAGATGACGTCAGTGTGTCTGTCCCAGCATGTGGTCTGTCTGCCCACACGATGATGCCACCTGCACGAGTATTGCTGACACGTGTGCTACGTGCATTGAGTCAGCTCGGCTCCTGTGACCCTGTGAGTGCTGCCCAGTGCCCTGACCCACGGCCCCACTCGGCGCCTGCAGACCCGCAGGGGCCTCTGTTCGGAGTCAGTCCTCCCACGCTTGGTCTGCTCCTCCCCCGCCGCCTCCTCTTTCCCCGGCAGCATCGTCCTCTCTCGAGAGCCTGCCCTCTCGGATGAGCCCGCAGGCCAGCGTCAGGGCCACTCCGCGGCCGGCCGGCCGCCCGTGCGCCAGGCCTCGCCGGCTCTGGGACACATCCTCTAAGGAAGGGTAACCACACGAGTGGGTCTCTTTGCTGGGGACGCTGTTCCGAACCCCTTGATAAATATATACTTTTGTCTAGTCGTGTATTTTTATCTAAAAGCTACAGGAGAACCATCACTAGCACCTGAAACCCATTCACTCACTTTCCCTTAAGTCTGTATTTATAGTTACGAGTGAGTCTTTGTAGAAAGCGGTGAAGAGAAGAGCTGGCCAAACCCCCAGGGCAGGTGAGGGGACGATAAGGGAGGGAGCCGGTCACGGAGGCGTGGGCCCTGCTCTGCCCCATGGGACCGGGGAGAGGCAGGGGGAGGGGGAGGGAGAGGGGCCGGAAGCCATGCCGTGGGTGCTCACCCCCACTCCTGGCGCCAGCAATGGGACTGGAAGACAAGGCCACCGGTGAGGAAGGAGAGGGGGCTGGGAGCTGAGAAAAGCCTGAGGCTCGGCCCTGGGCCCTCGGCCCTTGGGTGGCCTGCTCCTCCCTCCTCCCTCCTCCCTCCTCCCTCCTCCCTCCTCCCTCCGGTTTGTCTCAAACCACAGTGGTGCCAAAGATGGGAGACACGGGGAAATTAGGGATGATGCAAGAAAACCCATTCCCTTCCTCCCAGCCTGGGATCTGAACCGAGACACGGACGGAGTCACGTACCAGAGACGCTTGGGCAAAACCTGTCATCCCAAGAATCACCGCTATTTTAAGGTAGAAGCCATCCAAGGCCCGTTCCCGCAAGACTGAACTTGCAGGGAAGGTCCTGCGGCAGCACCAGGCCCGCCCGCCCGCCCGCCCGGGAGCAGCCTGCAGCACAGGCTGCATCTGACAGCATCAGGTGACCGTGATGGGTGGGGAGAGGGAGACCTGGGTACCCCCAAGGACAACACTGGCGGCCACGGCAGGTCCCCCCTCCCCTTGCCCTGCCCTCCATACACGCTGGCCATTTCCCTGAATTCCGGTTTGAGGCAACAGAAGGGCTGGGTAGGGGTAAAGGCGGGTATAGGGCCGAGTCCAGCGCCTCCGTGCGGAGGGAAGGCCTAGAGGAGCAGAGCCGTGCCAGCCGGGCGCCATGTGGGCGGCGTGAGCTCCGTGGCCTCGCAAACCCCTTCTTCCTCTCTAGGTGGCGGCTCCCTCCTGGAAGGTGCCCGAGGGCCGAGCGGCTGGAGCCTGTGAAGCGCTTGTCACTGAGCAGGAGCCGCTAAGTCAGCTGCCTCCTCTGCCATCGCCACCACCGCCAGTGCTGTCTGGGACACGCGGACACACGTGTTAAAGCTAATTTCTCCCTCTTCGGGTTTCGCCGGACTTCTGACCGCCCTCAGCCACCTTGGCCGAATGAATTAACATTTGCCGGTGCCGTTTGCCGGTGCCGTGGACGGGGGGGGGGGGGGGGGGGGGGGGGGGGGGGCTAGGCTAGGAGCTCCCGCCTTCTCCGGGCCTCGGTCACCACCCCCGAAAGCAATGCGGCGGGTGAGATTTGGGGCCAATCTCCTGGCAAAGCAGTTCACTGATTAGGTCTGCACATGCCAAAGTCAGAACAGCTCAAAGCTGGTCAAGCGTCTGTCTTCCTTCTCTGGGGCCCCTCAGACACCCCCCCCCCCCTGCCGCCTCCCACACACTCCGAATTTCCCAAAATGCACATTGCCGGAGACGGGGGTGGACTGGCTGGAAAGGGGGCTGCATGTGACGGCTGGCTCCCCGCGGCCCAGGGCTGGCTCACGCTGGGCCCCAGCACGCGCGTCTGCGAGGGGCGTGTGTCCTCCAAGCGGACCCGAGGGCCTTCCTGTTGTGCAGGGGGGTGACGGGGCGCCCGCGTAAAGGCCGGTCTAATGTTTAACCACCTTTTACCTCCGGGGCATCTTCCTTCCTGGAGCCTGGTTCCAGCCGGTTCCCCAGCAGGGGACCACGGATGCGCGATTCTGAGCTCTGTTATTTATGTGAAGTGATGAGGACGAGGAGGGGCTCAGGGGACCAGGACCCCAGCGCGGGCACAGCAGGTCCCCAATAAATACTCGCCAAATGGATATAGACCATCGCGACCTAAGAGGTGCTCAAAACGTGCCGGAGGGACTCTCACCCACACGGTGGGAATCTTGACCAGGAGAAGAAACTGAACTGGGCGGGTGGAACTGCCTCTCGCTGGCACGGGCATGGCCAGTGAGCATCACCAACCGCTTGGGAGCCGATGGAATCTCCTGTGCCACAAGTGGGCTTGGCTACTTAGAACGCCGAGCCCTGGGAGAAGCAAACATCTCCTGGCGGCCGCTGTGAGCTGGCTCGGGCGACCCCACCGTGGCAGCTGCTGCCTCGACAGCTCATGTCCCCCCCTGCCAAGGGGGTCAAACCAACCCTGGGTGAGGGTGGAATAAGGGTCCCAGGATGGGTAAGGCTTCTGTTCACTGAAGCACAACTACGTCTCAGCCAAGTGTCCTGCACATAGTAGGCTCATTAAGGGTTGACTGGGTGACAGACAGATCTGAAGGACCACATACTGTAGTTGCATTAGAAAAGGCAAAATAGCAGAGAATCCCACTTCTTACATTACACATTACTGTCATTTTAAGCCACAAGTATGTATACTATTATCAAGGGCCAAGAAAATCAAAAGAAAATAAAAAACAGATCTTCTGTTAAGAAAATACTCTCTGTTAACCCTACAATGTCCCACCCATTTCTGTCTGTGATGCAGAAACCCTATGCGAGGGTTTGTCCCCATCCTGCCCACTTCTCCAAGGAACTCCTGGGACCCCCATCCCCGGGAGGGCCACCCCTCACTCTCCAGTTCCCCGTGTAAAACAGCAGAGAGGAAACTGCTCAGAAGTCCAACGTTGAGACTGGTGACATGAAATTAACCCTTCACCCTTTGTCTCTGATGGAATTTTTACACAGTCATTTTTTTTAAAGAATCATTTCTGAGTAATATCTACTGACATGGGAAATGCTCATGAAATAATGTTCACTGGAAAAAAGCAGAACCCCCCCCAATTAGGTGTACGATGCCTAATTTTATGAAAAACATTTAGACCTAGAAGACAAAGAAGAGATGGAAGAAAATGTTAACAGTGACTGGAATCATGGGTGGTTTTCCCGCCCCCCCCCCCCCCCCCCGGCATTGTCAACATTACCCACACTGTCGGCAATGAGTAGCTCTGATTTTTATAAGAAAAACTGTTTTTGAGTGACTGGGGGTACCAAGCATAAGAAAAGATGTTCAACTTCACTCGGAATAAGAGAACCGCAAAATAAAACCAAGATGTGGCATAAATTTTCACCTAGTGCTTGGCAGTGTGTTTGTCTCTATATATGTATTTGTAATATATTTTGCTGATTTCAAAGAGGAAGGGAGAGGGAGACAGAAACATCAGTGATGAGAGAGAATCATTGATCGGCTGCCTCCTGCACACCCGCTACTGGGGATCGAGCCTGCAACCCGGGCAGGTGCCCTGACCTGGAATCGAGCCATAACCTCCTGGTTCCTAGGTCGATGCTCAACCACCGAGCCACGCTGGCCGGGCAGCATTTCTCACCATTTGATTTCACCCTTAGTTTTGCTCACATGTACAAAGGCAAATGAGGGGTCTGTTCCCAAGAGAAAGAGTGAGAACAGCCTATCTGCCCATCGCAGGGAAGTAGCGGGGCAGTTCAGGGTCCTCCCCTCAGCAGAGCGATGACAGATTTGGACGGGCCCTCGACGAGCCGATGTGCAACAGCCGCTGCGGTTGTGACAACAGGCGCTGCACAGACGGCGGGCACAGGGCGGTCCTCTGGGGGTGAGCCGGGCGAAGCTCAGCGCATGCGATCGTAAGCAGAACTGGGCGGGGCCCGGAGACTGGCTGTTCACAGAGCATCCTCCTCTAACCTTGTGATCCTGAGCCGTCACATGTGTTACTTTTCCCACAATTAGACATCAAATCAACGAGTAAAGTAGAACAGGCCTAGGGGGTCAGGAAGGCAGGGGCCTCCGCCCCCGAATGCCCGCCCCCTCCCGTGTGCAGAGGAGGGCCGGGCTCAGGCCCAGCAGTACTTGCCTGAGGCAGCGGTCCACGTCCTGGTCATCCCGGCAAAACTGGGGGCCTCCGTGCCTCAGGGCATCCTCGGGGTTGGCGAAAGCCTGAAATACACCAGCTGAGAATTACTGTTCGCTCGACGGCCGGCCGGTCGCCTGGGCCTTCGGCTGCCCCGTCACGTACATGTCCATTCCCCGGCATCCATGAACTCCTACTATGTGCTAAGTGCTGGGGACTCCCCGGGAACAAGGTCGCCATGGCCTGAACGTCTGTGTCCCTGGACATTCAAATGTGGAAACGTAACCCCCAAGGTGACGGTGTTTGGAGGTGGGGCCCTCCTGCCATGTGAGGACACAGAGCAGGACGGCCACCAAGGGTCCAGAAAGCAGGCCCTTGCCGGACTCAGACCTGCCAGCGCCTGGCCCTTGGGCCTCCAGCCTCCGGAACGGCGGGAAACCCAGTTCCGTTGTCTATACGCTGCCTGGCCGATAGCAGCTTATGATAAACTATGGCAAAGGCTCTGCTTTCCCTGTTCTTGAGAAGCTCACAGTCAGAGAAACCAGGAAGGACGAGGTGGTGTGTGCTAAGAAAGAGAAGACAAGGTTGGCCTGGAGAATGTTCACAGGAGATGCGAGTCTGAGAATCCAAGAAGTCAAGGTGTCCACAGGCCGATTCCTCCTGGGAGCCCTGGGAAGCCTCGGTTTCCCAGTCCCTCAGCTGCCGGAGGAGCCTGCATGCCCTGGGCCCCTGCCTCCTCTGTGGCTGGAGGTCTGCCCCCTCTCTGGCCTCCCCTCCTTTCTTTCCTCCCTCTAATGTGTCTCCACAGGACATCCAAACCTGTAGAGAGTTTTTGTAGGTTTATTTGAGCCAAACTGTTGACACCTGCCAGGGAACAAGATCGCCAGTGCTCTCGGGAGAGTAACAGTTCTGCAGCCTCTTAGATGCATTTGAAATTAAGCAGAAACGTAAGGAAGGTGAAATGAAGGCGGGAGAGAGCCAGGTGGGGATCCGATCAGAGGAGAGTTAACCAGAGTCTGTGTTCCCTGAGGTGGTTACTGCTTATCTCTAAGGTGTGGACAGGGCTTGCTTGAGGCAAAAGAAATGTTTTACTAAAAGGTTACAGGCCTGAGGTGTGACCTGCCCCGTTGGGGAGTTAGGATCAGATCACCCTGTGAGGTTTCTTTCCATAGAACACCCCCCCTTTTTTTTTTGTTTGCAAATTCTACTGCTGCTCTAGTAAGAGGACGAAGGGGTGGGGGGTGGACACACTTCCCAGGAAGACGCCTTCACTGAGGCCCGGGGAGGGTGAGCAGCAGGTGCCCCAGCCTCTCCGTCTAACAGGGCGGCTGGGCCAGCGGCAGGGCAGTCCGGTGTGAGCAGCGACCCGCTCGCCGGCCCGTGCCTTCCTGTCTGGCTCAGGACAGGACGGGAGGAGGAATTCCTCCCGAAAACTCCGAGGGAGCCCGGCTGAGCGCCCGCCTGGCCTCCGTCCCCGTGGCAGTTTGTAAGCGACCTGGCCGGCGAGCTGGGAATTTCCACGGAAAGCTCCCCGGCTCCTATTTCGCCGGTTCCCACCCCACCCCAATCTCAGATCTGCCCGGGGGAGCACGGGCGCCCCCCCACCCCCCCCCCACCCCCCCCCCCCACCCCCCCCCGCCGGCGTCCTGACAGCCCAGCGCACTCCGGGCGCCTCAAGTCTCATCGTGCCTGGAACTCACCTGGTGGCACAGCGAGTGAGTAACCCTGAAAACTGACGCCAGGAAGGTGCGGCCCTGCTCAAACCCGGGGCCACAGAGAGCCCTGCCGGGAGAGGCGCCGCCCGCCGGCTCCGCGCACACACGCGCTCCGGGCCCGGAGGGGAAGCCGCGCGGCCGGCGGGGTCCCGGGACAGGGTCCCGGGAGGGGGCACGTACCTTCTTCCGCAGCCGCACTTGGCCGGTGATGACGGCCACCACGTACATCTTGATGACCAGCAGGGTGCTGCAGAGCAGGAAGGCGGGGAGCACCTGGCCGCTCAGCGCCAGGGCCGGGGCGGGCATCGCGGCGGCGGGCGCTGGGCTCTGCGGAGAGAGGCGCGGCGGCTGCGGGCGCGGCTGCGTCCAGAGCCGGGAGGAGGCGGGCGGGGCGAGGGGACCAGTCGGCACGCAGCACCGCCCACTCCAGGGCAGAACTTCTGACCACAGGTGCGGGGAGCGCGGGGAGCCTGGGGGGGTGTCCACGCCCCCTGGCAAATCTTCACCCACTTTCAAATCTGTTTCCTGTTTAAAAAAAAAAAAGAAAGTAAAAGAAAAGAAAAGAAAATCAACCGAATAAGCTTGGAGATCTAGTTGGCTTTATGGAGGGACTCCTGAATCGGGCAGCCTCCCGCCGAGCAGGGGGAAGGGGCTGTACAAAACCCAGGGTGTTTATATGAGGAAGGGGGGCGCGGGGGGCGGGCAAGGGAGCGAAGTGTGAAAGAAATGAAAGGATTGCTTTGAGAGGGACATCCCTTCTTTGGGGGAAGCGAAGGGGAAGGCTTTTGTCAGGCAGACTTGCCTCTTTGTTCCATGGGGGTGAGGAGGGTAGAGAGGGCCCCGGGACAGATGGCTCTACTGGGGCGTGACCAGCAGCCTCCAGCCTGGTCAGAAGGTGGCGTCCTGGGAGAGGCCACACTGGGCTGAGATTGGTATTAAATACAGGTTTGGCATCATGGACTTTTCAGCATGAGCGATGCCATACAGGGCCTGGGGCTGTCTCTTTGACATTCCTCATCCGTCCAATGGGTCTGTGTGGCTGCGCCCTCCTTCCGGTGGGTGCGGCCAAGTGGGGCACCGGGCAGGACCCCCACAGGTGGCCGCTGCCGCTGCCCTGTGCTCACCACCCTGAGAATCAGGGCAGGTGGTGGGCCAGAGCCCTGAGCCATCTGCCCCCGACTCAGCCTGCACACCTGAGCCTCAGCCACCCCTACGTTGTCAATGGGACTTTGCTATTTGTGGGAGGCTGAAAAAATGCGCCCCCCAAGATGTTCATGTCCTAGTCCCCCGAGCCTGTGACTATGTTACCGAACGTGGCAAAAGGGACTTCGCGATGGGATTAAGTAAAAATATTGTGATTCAGAGATGACCCTAGATTATTTGGGTGAATCCAACTTAATGACAAAGGTCCTCTTACTAGAGCAGCAGTAGAATTTGCAAACAACAACAAAAAAGGGAGTGGGTGTTCTATGGAAAGTAACCTCACAGGGTGATCTGATCCTAACTCCCCAACGGGGCAGGTCACACCCCAGGCCTGTAACCTTTTAGTAAAAGATGTCTTTTGCCTCAAGCAAGCCCTGTCCGCACCTTAGAGATGAGCAGTAACCACCTCAGGGAACACAGACTCTCGTTAACTCTCCCCTGATCGGATCCCCACCTGGCTCTCTCCCACCTTCATTTCACCTTCCTTACGTTTCTGCTTAATTTCAAATGCATCTAAGAGGCTGCAGAACTGTTATTCTCCCGAGAGCACTGGCGATCTTGTTCCCTGGCAGGTGTCAACAGTTTGGCTCAAATAAACCTACAAAAACTCTCTACAGGTTTGGATGTCCTTGGAGACACATTAAAGGGAGGAAAGAAAGGAGGGGAGGCCAGAGAGGGGGCAGACCTCCAGCCACAGAGGAGGCAGGGGGGCCAGGGCATGCAGGCTCCTCTGGCAGCTGAGGGACTGGGAAACCAAGGCTTCCCAGGGCTCCCAGGAGGAATCGGCCTGTGGACACCTTGACTTCAGCCACTGACATTGATTTTGGACTTCCAGCCTCCAGAACTGGCCTCCAGATAGCAAATTTGTGTTGCTTTAAGCCACCAAGTTTGTGGTCACTGGCTACAGCTATAGGGAGCGGCTATAGGGTTAAGCCTCAGACTGACCTGTTGGCAAAGCCACAAACAAGTCCCAGTTTAGGGGGCACAGCCCTCTTAGCATAATTAAGCTTGACCTTATGAAGCTCCCTAGATCCTAGCTGGGTAGCTAATGGGCTGCAGGAAGTGCAGCAAGTGCTGCCAAAACAAGTGAAACTCACAAGAACATTGTAACTATGGTGACCACTACCTTGTTTACCTCTGGCTATAGAATAAAGGCTCAGCTTGCCCTCTAGGTCTCTCTCTGTGGCCTCAGCCAGGCACAGGAGATCCACCTAGACCAGCCGTGGGCAAACTACAGCCAGCGGGCTGTATCCGGCCCGTTCGGCTGTTCTATCCGGCCCACGGAGCTGAAAGAGCGGAGGGTTCTCTTGCTCTCCCCTCCGCTCCTTCACCAGCATCAGTGTTAACATGTATTAGTTCACACAAACACTCCATCCATGCTTTTGTTCCGGCCCTCCGGTCCAGTTTAAGAACCCATTGTGGTCCTCGAGTCAAAAAGTTTGCCCACCCCTGTTCTAGACCCAGCTTATTCTCTGTGTCTGTCTTTTCTTTAATTCTTCGCTGCCCCCTCCCCACCAGGCTCACTGAACCCTTGGCTGTGCTGGCCCGGCACATACAGCAGCCACAGGAGATGCACACACGTCCATGTCTCTGACCATCGCTTTAGTTTCCCAAGAGACTCCCAAGCTAACAGCTCGATTGCTCATTACAGGAACTTCCCCGGAGTCACAGCTCTTCCATAGAAAGCATCTTGGCCCACCTTGGCCCCTTCCCCAGGCTCGGGGCGGACCACTGCCAAGGTGGGGATCTTGTCCCTGCTGTTCTGCAATACTGCTTGCTTTGCCAGGGGTGCCCCGGGGAAGTGGGGAAGAGGAAAAACTGGTGCCTGCTCCACCTTGAGTCTGCCTCAGGGGACAGCAGGGAGGGTCTGGCCTGGGCCCCAAGCACTGGGCTGGTCAGAGGGCAAAAACGCAGGCCGCATGCTCTGGAGCCAGACTCCACCGGCATGGCATCCGGGCCGGCCTTCCGTGGCAGCCATGTGAGCTGCCGGCGAGCAGTTTCCCTCTCTGAACCTGTTTTCTCACCTGTACAACCCGAGCAGGCAGGCGGTCGTCCCCACAGCATTGAGAGAACTAAAGAAAGTCATGTCTATGGCCCTGGCCAGTTTGGCCCAGTGGACAGAGCGTCAGCCCTCGGACTGAAGGGTCCCAGGTTCGATTTGGGTCCAAGACAGGTACCTGGGTTGCAGGCTAGATCCCCGGCCCTGGTCGGAGCATGTGTGGAAGGTGAGCAATCAATGTGTCTCTCTCACATCGATGTTTCTCTCTGTCTCTCCCTCTCCCTTCCACTCTCTCCAAAAATTAATGGAAAGTATCCTCGGGTGAGGATTCACACACACACACACACACACACACACACACACACACACACTCATGTCTAAGTATTAAGTGCTCGGCATGTCCTAGGCCCTCCATCAGCATGAGCCTCAGTTTCCTCAAAATGGGGATAATAATTCCTACCTCGCAGGTCTGCCAGGAGGCGCTCAGAACCCCCTGCCCTGCTGCTGGGGACGGGGCTGTGGGGCGGGGAGGGGGGGACATTCCTGACCATTTGCAACGTGCCACACCCTCCCTTCTCTGGACAAAAGATGGGGCTGCCAGGCAGGGCTGTCATGGCTCCCAGAGAGAATGCGAGGTCACGCCAGGGACGGGACATAAAAGTGCGGGAAGTCCGTTTCCCTCTGACTGAGTGGCTGGGACTTGCAGGCTTGCTCCTGGGATGTTTCTGAGGACATAGGACCCCGGCCGCCCTGACCCCCTCCTCGGGGGAACTGCCAGAGGTGGCTGTCTTCCTGGTCAAAAAGCTGTTAGGGTCCGGCTGGCGTGGCTCAGTGGTTGAGCTTCGATCTATGAACCAGAAGGTCATGGCTCGATTCCTGGTCAGGGCACAGGTCCGGGTTGCGGGCTCAATCCCCTGTGTGGGGCGTGCAGGAGGCAGCCAATAAATGGTTCTCTCTCATCCTTGATGTTTCTTCCTCTCTTCTTCTCCCTTCCTCTCTGAAATCAATAAAGATATTTTATAAAAAGCTCAGTTATAAGGGCTGGGGGCCATGCCACCCCCAGAATGGTGGACCAGAGGCAGCCCCAGAGGGGACCCTGGGTGGGGATCCCTCCTTCGACTAGGAGGCCGGCCTGCGTGCTCAAGCCGAAAGCAGAGGGCCTCTGGGCAGCCCTTCTGACTGATGCTCCGACTCCCCTCAGGGATCTCCGCCTCATCGCCTGCTGAGCTCAGCCCTGGAAGCCAGGGCCTGGCAAGGAGGACAGACCCTTCTCTGATCTTTGGCCAGGAATTTCCCTAGCCCTCCGCCCGCCCCGCAGGGAGCGGCCCTGTTGTTTCTGGTGGAGATGATGGGGTGTTACTTTTCCTGGAGCTCCTAACATTCTTTGCCTGTGAAATGGGATCAGTGCCCCTGGCCTGAGGGTGAGGGAGCCTAAAGCCGGTGTGGGGGGCTCAAGCTTTCTGTCTTGGCCTGGGTCAAGGTTACACACGTAGGGATATGTGTAAAATTCTCCCAGCTCTATCTTCAATCGTTACTCTACGTATATTCGCATCTCTTGTGTGTGTGTGTGTGTGTGTGTGTGTGTGTGTGTGTGTGTGTGAGTGTTTACTGTCTATCTTTTAAAAGCCACAGAAGTTCTGCCGTCATAACTGTGCATCTCTGAGCAGCGGGAGCTGCAGTGTCTGAAGCCCAGGCAGCCGCCCCTCACTCCCCATCCCTGGCATTTCCGGAGGCTGGAGACCCGGGCCTTGGGCGGTAATTGTCTGACTTCAGAGGAGGCTGGGAGAGGGGAGGAAGTGGCCCCCCTCGCCCGCTGGCTCCTGACCTCAGTGCGTATCGCTGGGGCTTTCTCCAGCCAAGGATGGGGAAACGCAGTGATTAAAGAAACCAAACACAAGAAAGTCCTGGGAGTGACCTGTAGGTCAGATTGGTCTCGTGGCCAGCACGCAGCAGCATCCCTCCTGCGGGAAGCGGTGTTTGGGGAACGTGGTCTACGGAAGAGGCGACCGTGGGTTAGTGAGCTCTTCCTGACGGCTCCACCGCCCCTCCCGGGCAGAAGCCCACCAGGGGGGACTCCTGGAGCCCCCTCCGGATGCGCCATTCCATGAAGGACTGTTGTTTTTGTCTCCCAGCTCACCTCTCTCTCCTTCCTTCCTTTGGGGAATCACACCCTTC